GGGCTAATTTTACATGTTTTAATAATATTTTCTGTTTTAAGAAAATTAGGCAGCTCAAAAATATCATTCATTGTTAATGTGCATCGAAACCCCTTGATGATCAATGGATTAATCCATAGAAACATGAATCGGCTACAAAGAGAAGCACCCATTTCCGGTGCTTCCATTCTTGGTGTAGCCATTTTTGGCGCATCCATTTTTGGTACATCCATTTCTGGTGATAGGTTCTGGACCTAATTAGTTAAACAAATTATATGTAGTCAAAATGGTCTTAAGATCTTGGAAGAAAAGATATTTATTACCTTATAGTCATAATTTCGTGACTCCAAGATCGAGAAGTACATCAAAACAATTAGGAAACAGAAAATCATCAAAAATAAATAGTACACTGTATTGAAAACCATTTTTAATTTTAAATACGAATGGAGATTTTTTATAACATAAACTATTGTGAGAAGGCATAATATATTCAGGTGATCACGAATATGTAAAAAACTATATTGTCGTGTATTTATTTTTATAATCAACGCTAACACAGATGCGTATGCCTATGAAGCAAACTATTAATTTAACGAAATTCTTTTTTAAAAAAAAAAAATAACAAACAAACAAATGCTCACCCACGCCATGAGCCAACAAGTGCAATGAAACTCATGTGAATCTTGCCGTCTTATTAATGCAAGACAGACAAGTTGCAACAATATCGTAATGCTGAAAATTAGACGGATAAAATCTATTTTTATTCTGTTACTAATGTCCTTTTGTATGGTCGATTCATTTAAACTAACCCGCCTGTTAACATAAGCTACTATTAGAAAAGAAACCGAGATTATCAAATATAACAATGGAATTCCGACATCTATAAGGCTAATTTTTGTATATAGAAGTCATAAGATTAGAAATCAATTTCATATTAGTAAAATATAGCTTGACCGGCTAATGCCATGATATATATATATATATTTACAATTCACTATTATAATTTAACGTTATATGCATTTCTCATAAATAATAATACTAATTGTATGAGACTTTTGTTCTTTGACGTTAAATCATTTGAATTGGTAACTGCCAGAGTGTTAAAATACAAACAGATAAAGCGCAGTTATAGTTTTACGCGCATACTTATGTATATGCAAAAGAACGCGGAATTTTACGGATAACTATTCCATTCATTACCGCCAAATAAGGGCTATTAATCCGAATTAATTTGCTCGCACTATTTACATTGTTCCTTTAATCGATCATCTACACATTATTGTCTGATAATCTCATCTAATACATATGAATTGTAAATTTTGATCAACGATCAGCAAAAAATATCCAAACTTGGAGCATAAGTAAAAAATATTGGGAACGGGAATACAATTTTACATATATTATCTGATCCTAATTTAATAAGTGAAAATGTATGTTCGTATCCGCTCTTTAATACACTTTAGAATACCAAAATTGTGCAAATTACGTATATTATCAGCTATGTATAGTGATCAGTTCGAACATTTATCATTCGATTCGTCTTAGCGAGATGTATTAAAATCGTTCAAATCTAATGGATTTGGTATGTCATTATTTAACCATACCCGGTTAATATACAT